TGGCCCTCAATACTCTAGAATTATGTCTGCCTGCATACTGCCATGCTTCCCACAATAATGATAGTGGACTAAACTTTTGAACTGTAAGCCAGCCCCAATGAGATATTTTCCTTTATAAGAGTTGCTATGGTCATCGTGTCTCCTCACAGCAATAAAACCCTAACTAAGACAAAAGTTGGTACCAGGGACTGGGTTATTGTGATAAGACTCTGTCTTATGATTATTAGTGTTAACTCTAATAAAAATTTATAATGAAAAGGAGAAAGCTGAGCAAGGAAAATATAAAATATACAATTTGAGGAGAAAAAGAGCACCAGGAAGTGGGATGGAGCTAAATCCTGAGTTTAAGAAGATAAACAAATTAAGAAATGGAAAAAAGGAAGTGGTGACCTCAGGGCAAGTCCCACCCAGCTAAGCTTTCAATTTGTGAGAAGGGATTAAAGAAAAGCTCAGAGCTGTATGTGGTGGTTAATGTGCATGCCTTTAAGCCCAGTACTCTGGAGACAGATGCAGAATGGATCTATGAGTTTGAGGCTGCCTGGTCTACAGATCAAGTTCCAGGACAACCGAGCTTAGGCAGTGAAGATAACCATCAAAAACAGAAAGCTGGTGAAGATGTAATTGAATGAGGGGCCATGTTCCAGGCCCAGTAAGCAGCAGAACTTGGCAGCTTTGTGTAAGGATTATGTCCTTATTACATCACCAGCCCATGATGGCGTCTTAGCCTAAAAAGTGGGCGTGCCCTCTCAAGGGCCTCTCTCTCCCCATATTCCCTCTGTCTCTCTGTCTCTCTGTCTCTCTCTCTCTCTCTGTCCTAATAAAGTTCTAAAAGGTAACCATTTCTTGTGATTATTCTGCCACCACAACATTCAAGGCTCTCTTCCATTGGCATGGCCACTGTGGGTGGCAGCCAGCCACAAGCACCGCTGCTTAACCAACATCTGGTGCCGTGACTGAATAGACCACCGAGGACCTGCTGTGACCACTGCTGCTTGCCGCCTCCTCCTCCCCCATGCAGCGAGACCATGAGACCCTGAGACAGTGAGACCAAGAGCGCATGCGCGTCCCTCGCCTCTGCTGGACCCCCACACCACTACCAGTACCGCTGCCGCTATCGCTGCTGAGTCCACTGTTCTCACAGCTATAGTCTGAGCTATATTCTTTGCCACGGACACCCCATGGGTTGTCCTTGTGCCGTGCTGGCAACGGCAGACACATTTTCACTCCTGACGAGGGGGTCAATGCTGTCTTGGGTCTACTGGGTGGACCACCTGCGGCACATGCCACATCCCTTAGCATTTCTTGGCAAAGAGGGTGGCTAACTTGAGCTGATTTATAGATCTTCTCTCCTCAGGGATGCCTGAGATTGGAGTCTGATCCCAGTTTGTTATTTTAATTTTTTATTTTTCTCTCGGCTACAGCCATGAGACAAAGGGGCAGATACATTTACCACTTACACTGGCAGATACCAGTAGATTTGGCTACATAACAGCTTTGTGGGAACTTCTGCCAACGAATGGGCAAAAGCCATGGGACAAAGGGGCGGGTACCTGTAAATCTGGCTGCATAACAGCTTCATGGAAACTTCTGCCAGTGAACTGGCACATAAAAGAGTTACTTTATCCCCAAGCTTTCTGCTAAAGCTCTGAGCCCATCTCCTTCCCCATTTCTGTGTCTGCCACATGCAACCTTTTCTGTCTGACGTCTGCAGGCAGTGGGCGGGCTCAAATGGGCGGGCTTGGGTGGTTTCTACGACTCTCGCCCTAACTCACTTTAACTCCACCCACTCATTCTCAAACTGCCTTGAGAGGCACAGACAGGTCTGGTAATGGCTAAGATCCACGCAAATAAGTTTACAATAGTCAGGATGGCTCTTAAGCCAAAAATCAGCTTATAGCCTCAGACAAGTCTTCCAAAGGGATCTGTTTATAGTCTGCCTCCTGGCAGATCTTCCAAAAGCTGTCCTTAAGCTACCAATCATTAGGGAAAAAAAATCAGGACATGGAGTATAATCTGTCTCTTGTTCCCCAGACCTCCCCCACTAAAACTTAAGCATCTGGAGAGCAAGGCTCCTGACCCCACAGACAAAAGAGTCATCTGTGGCATTTAAGGTGTGCCAGGGAAGAGATAAAAGCCCGAAAACAAAATTGCCAAGTGCCGGCACTCGCTGACTCCCAAAAGCTGTTGGGTCCCTGTTTTAAGTGAGAAAAAGGCCATGGGCTAGCGAATGCCCTGCCAGGCCATCAACAGCCTTGTTAAAAGTGCCACCTAGAAAGACAAAGAGTCAGCTGACTTCCCCCAGGCACCAAGATGCATGGGTACATCAAGCTAAGACCTCCAACAGACCTAGGCTTGGACACAGACATGGCAGGGAACCCAGAATGCAGCAGGAAAGCGATCCGTTTCTTTCCTTCTGAACACCAGAGCCACTGATTCAGTCCTGGGAGTTTTGTGATGTCACCTCTCCTTTATTGTCGGGTACAGAGGACAGCCTTACCCACCTCACCAGATTTAATTACACTTTCAGACTCTAGATCTACTGCCTATGTTTCTCACGTGCATACAGACAGGGCCCTGATCTTTGCCTTGTCCCTAATTCCAAAAAATAAATTCTCATGCACCACAAGCTTTTCTCTTCCCAGTTCTCTGTTATAACTCACCATTCAGCTAATGATACAGGACCACTACAGAACTGGAGTCCAGAGATCATCAAATAAGAAACTGTAACAACTAAAATGTATTTACATCCCCAGACCAAAAAACATCTGGGTGCTACAAAAAGAACTTTAATGTAAACATCTATTATTGTGAGATGCTTTTAACAATTGATCACCTGTTTTCCTGGATGCCAAACTAGTAAAGGAAACAGGTGCCTTAAAATAATCTGTCTCTGATAAAGCTTAACATGTTTCAAAATCCATCTGGACAGGCCGGATCTACCTCAAATAAGTGCCAACATAAAATAATAATGATTCTCTTCTCTCTAAGCTTTTTTCTGTGTCACCAACATCTTGTCAGACAGAAAGTTCCCAGCCACAGCCAAGAGGGATACATGTCTCCAGAACAATGGATGGCAGACAGTATCCCACAACGCCTGTCTACCTCGGAAGACTCCCCTTCCCCATTCTCCCAAGAGCCAACCGATGTCCAACAGTCAGCTGGAAGCAGCTTTTGAGAGCAACGACGCCCCTATTCCCATCTACCTGTTTTTTTTTTAATAATAAGTGAAAGTTTGGGATGTAAGGATTATGTCCTTATTATGTCACCAGCCTGTGATGGCATCCCAGCCTAGAAAGTGGGCATGCCCTCCCAAGGGCCTCTCTCTCCCTCTATTCCATGTCTTCCATGTGGTCTATCTCTCTCTTTCTCTCTATCTTTCTCTCTCCCTGTATTCCCTCTGTCTTCCACATAGTCTCCCTCCTCACCCCTCTCTCCTAATACAGCTCTAAAAGGTAACCATGGCTCGCGATTCTTCCATCACCGCAGCATCCAGGGCTCTCTTCTGTCGGCTTGGCTGCTGTGGGTGGTGGCCAGCCATGAGCGCCGCCGCTTAACCAACACTTTGGTCATATGGTTCTGGCTTTAGAAGGAAGGATAGTAGAAAGGGGTATTGGAATCTTCCTCCAAGAGTAAGGAAAGCCACTGAGGCCAGGCATGTATCAGGTTGTCCTGAAATGGAGGTCTAGAGAGGCCATTGCATGAAGCTGTGAAGTTGAAGCCTGGATTGCCTTGGAGAACCCAAGATGTTAGATATACCAGAGTTGTGGGATACCTGTTGAGGAGAGCTGCTAACAGGGAGTAGAACCAGCCCAAGAGAAAGAAGTGTGTTGTAGTCAACAAAGATGAATGGAGTTGGAGATCTGAAGAATGTTTTGACATCAGATATGGAGATGGAGAGTTTGGAGTTTTCCCAGCTGGTTTTTGGTCTTGCTTTGGTACCGTATTTCCTCACTATGCTCCCTTCTCTATGTTTTGGAATGGTAATGTATTTCCTGTGTCATTATATGTTGGAAATATGTGATCTCTTTTTTTAGTTTGATTTTATAGGGGATTACAGTTAAGAGATTGCATGAATCTCAGAAGAGACTTTGAATTTTGGACTTTTAAACCATGTTGAGACAATGATAGACTATGGGGCCTTTGGAAATTGAACTCAATTATTTTGCACTGTGATATTATTACAAGCCCATGGGGGCCAGGGAGTAGAATGTTGTAGTTAAGGACAGCTAGAGAGTCAACTCAGGTGCCCAACAGCAGTAGAGGCATAGATAAAGGAAATATGGTATGCTGTGGGATGGTCTGTATGTTAAATTGCTCTGATTGGTCAATAAATAAAACACTGATTGGCCAGTGGCCAGGCAGGAAGTATAGGGGGGACTAACAGAGAGGAGAATTGGAACAGGAAGCCAGAGGGAGACACTGCCAGCCACTGCCATGACAAGCAGCATGTGAAGACACCAGTAAGCCATGAGCCACGTAGCAAGGTATAGATTTATAGAAATGGATTAATTTAAGCTATAAGAACAGTTAGCAAGAAGCCTGCCAGGGCCATACAGTTTGTAAGCAATACAAGTCTCTGTGTTTACTTGGTTGGGTCTGAGCAGCTGTGGGACTGGTGGGTGACAAAGATTTGTCCTGACTGTGGGTAAGGCAGGAAAACTCTAGTTACAATGGTATATATATGAAATGGAATTTCTTTCAATCACAAAGAACAATGCTATGTGCTAAAATGAAAATGGATGCTACTGGAGACAATCATATTAAGCAAATTAATCTAGCCTCAGAAAGACAAATACTGTAGGTTTCCTCTCATTTGCAGATCCTAGCTAAACAAAACCAGCATGCTCAGAAGTAGAACTGTCTAAACCCTAGACTCAGGGCAGTGATTCTCAGTCTATGGGTCATGACCCCATTGGTGATTGAACAAACTTTTCACAGGGGTTGCCTAAGACCATCAGAAAACTCAGATATCTACATTAAAATTCACAACAGTAGCAAAATTACAATTATGAAGTAGCAACAAAAATATTTTATGTTTGGGGGTCACCACAACATGAGGAACTGTATTAAAGGGTCACAGCATTGGGAAGGGTGAGAACCACTGCTCCAGGGCATCAATGAGAGGGGAGAGGGTGGAGAAAATGAAGAGATATACTCAATGTGCAATCTATTCTTACGTGAAAACCAAAACAAATACATTTAAAAGAAACACTAATCAAGAAAACAGACCTGAAACTGGGTTTGCAGTCTTAGAATCTGGGAGCTTAGGCTGGGATCTCCGGCTTACGGTCAGCCTAGGCTGCATGTTGAACTCCAGGTCAATGTGGGTTCTTAGAGAGGTTCTGTTCTGAACAAACAAAGTGGCTGCATTTGCTCTCCGCATGGGGACAGCACCTGGCATAAGACTGAAGCTGTGCCCTTTTGAAATTATTTGAAGCTTCCCTAATTTGGTCTTTGTCTTGGCCACTTTTTTTGTTGCTGGGATAAAATACCCCACAAAGGTAATTTAAGGGAGAAGGGGTTATTTTTGCTTACAGTTCTAGTAGGGTGCACTCCATCATGGCTGGAGAGATATGGCCCCAGGAGGCTGGCGGGTCATCCACACACAGGAAGCACAGAGAAAACAGGAAGTGGGATCTCCTTAAGGCCTGCCAGAGGGTCTACCCCTTAAAAGCGCATAGCCTTCCCAAAGCACACCACCAGCTGGGACCAAGGGTTCAAACATGTGAAACTACAAGGGGACGTTCACATTTAAGCTGCAACAATCACTAATGGGGGTCACAATGTCTAAGTACCAACAGTTAAAATACACAGTTCATTCCAAGATTCCAGCAACTTGGAGGTTTTCTTTTGTTTTCCTTTTCTTTTCTTAACTACTGGAAACTGAATCTGGATCCTCATGTAGGCTGTTCCTGCGATGCTGTCATGTGATGCTTGTTGGTTTTTAGCAGTGCTCTTATCCTGCAAGGAAAAGACAGAATCCACTAACAATAGTTTTACTAAGATGAGGAGAAAAGAATAGATGTGACCAGGCCTGCTGACACATGTGTGAAGGGGACGGAGGAACATGGGGGCCAGCTTTTAAAGGCCAAGCCACATCTGCACACACAGGCCCACGTGGCTACTCCACACATGTGCACAGATCACGTGGTTGCCTGGTGCAGTTTATGAAACCACGCAGCCGCGGGGTCATGGGTCACACAGGACCTATGACCTGGAAATGACTAGGCAGAAATGACTAAGTGTCCTGCCAGGCATGCGCGACCATGCCCGACCATGGGGACGTGGTGGGGATTTCTATCAATGCTGTCATGTGATGCTGGTCCTGTGATGCTGTCATGTGATGTTGGTCCTGTGTTCTACCATCCAGCTAAAACCCTAGCCCATGGGAAAATGTTCCTATAAATCTGTGAAGTCTTCTGAAAGGAAAGGCAATAAATTCAGCCACAGAGAAATTAAAAATGTGTGCATGGCAAAATCACCAGCAAAGAATGACCAAAACACTTCCTGTTCTGTGTATGCTCCCAGGCAAATCATGTTCCTTTCTAGCCTCTTTCTCTTCTGTTGGCATGGAACTGTTCATTGGGAAGTCATGGGGTGGATGTGAGAATCAGGTGACCATGTAGCTGAAAACACTCTGGCAGTGTACCGACTCCATTCTTGGCTGTTCCAGGCAGGCTCATGGAGCAGGATGATGTAGATATGCAGAGAAGCAGTTCTTGTCACTCAACAAGACTGTGGGTCAGGGAAGGGTATGCACAAACATCTTTTTTTTTTTTTTTGGTG